CCAGTCAACAGTTCAACCACTTAGGTCAATCACCAATAAATTGGACATAGGGTCTTGCTAAGTAACTTAGGCAAGGGTCAATGCTTATCACAGTGTTACTAATAAAGATATGAGAAGCATGCATGGCCATGCCTATTCTTAGACATCCCTTTCTTAACAAGACTTCATTTCTCTTTATTGGAAAGACAGATGTAATCAGCGAGGTGAGACAGCAGTCATCTTGTGATATTCAGTCAATGCCTGTCTGATGTTGGCATCAAAGCTATAATACAGGGGTTTAAGAGAAGAGTTAGGAAACCACGGTGTTTTCTGTCATAGCATCTGTACTTTTCTGACCTTGGTAATGTGGCAAAATAAACTTGAAAGAAAATAGGACCTTTGTCCTGCCAAGTGGGTGGTTATAGTTCTGAACTTGGGTCATTATTTCAAACAAAGATTCCAAGTGGGAGCCAAGAAGTTCACTTCATATAACTGTCACAGTCCTCACATTTTGTGGGAGGTCTACTGCTTTCACTAATTAGAGAATTACATAGACACTGTGAATCTTTACCTTAGGCCACACAGTGGATTATATCTACATTGTGCTTATGATAACTACTCCCCAAACATCACCATCAAATGCTTCAAATATGCCAGGTGTGGTAACACACACATGTAATCCTAAAAGTGTGGAGGCTGAGAGGAGTACATTATTAGTATACTCCAGGAGTTGAGGAGAAGTGTCAGGAAATCATGGTAATTTCCAGCAAGTATCTGTAATTTTCTGACCTTGGTAAGATGCCATAATAGACTTGAATGACTACAGGACCTTGATCATGCCAAACAGGGTTATCTGGCACAAAGCATGTTTCACTATTCCATCGTAGGCTTCCAAGTGGGAGCCAAAAGTGAATTTCATGCAGTAACTGCCAAAGTCCTCACACTTTGGGAGAGATATAGTGCCTTCATCTACCAAGAACCTTTATCTAGTACACACAGTAGATTAGAACAACATCAGTCTGAGATACATGGGGAGAACTTTTCTAAAACATACAAACAAAGACACCAACCACTGAAAGCATTTCCAATGTGGTATACTTCATAAAATGGAAATTTAAATAACTTCATACATTCTTGGAACTTAAGAGTCACAAAAGTTCTCTTTTAAGTGGGAATATTCATGTACTCTAAATATAAATCCAAGATTTTTTAAAGAAAACTAAATGAAAAACTAAGGACACAAGACCATATTTCAAGAACACTTTTTAAGTTCCCAATTAATACAGGTTATCATTGCCAAAATGTGTACGAGAATTCAAGCCTAGATTTCACAAGCAAAAACATACCCAAACCTGGTAAGTTTAGCTTACAAATTCAGTTCCTTCACAAATTAAGGCAAGTTGATCATAAACTAAAGAGCAGTCTGAGATACAAAATAAGACCTAAAACAAATAAGTGAGTATGGTAGCACAAATCTATAATCCTGACATTTGGGAGGTACAGGCAGGAGGACTAGAATTTGAAAGCCTGCCTGGGCTACATAGTGAGAGACTTTCTAAAACAAAAGAAAAGAAAAGAAGAAAAAAGAAATTGTGTGTGTCCTGGATGTAGCTAAGTTGGTAGAGTTCTGGACTATATATCATATGTGAAACTCTGGGTTTATTCCTCAGCACTCATTATATAATCATGGGGGCTGATGCTTGCATTCGCAGAACCTGGGCATTATAGTTAGTTAGATCAAAATTTCACAATCCTCCTTGTCAAAAAGTGAGTTCAATGAAGCTGGGCTTCAGTAGACCTTTACTCTAAAAGAAGGAGGATGCCATGGAGCAATATTCACCTGATGACCAGCTAATCTATCAAGAGGATCATATTCCTGGAGTCATCCTTAGCCACTGAGCCATGATGATGTTGATGGTTTCAGATCTTGATAATTGTACTTTCTGTTTTTGGAAATATTTATGGAAATTCAATTAATAATCAATTCATTACAATTCAAACTATGATAATTATATATTTTAATGTGGTCTTATGTTCCCTGCTCAGCTTCCAGAGTGAGGGGATTGAATGCATATGCCATCACCCATAATTTATGCCATGCTATGGATGAAATCCAGAACTTGGTAAATTCTGAACAAAAACTATAAAGTGAGCTATATCTCCAGGAAATTCAGTCATATAATGTCTCTGTAATTTGAAAGGTTTCTGTAGATGTCAGTGTTGTTTATGTGATTCTCTTCCAGTTTCTCCTCCTATTCATCTGCAGATTAACAAATGTGATCTTTCCATTCTTTGTCATCTCTTCTTTTGTGGATACCAAGATTAGAAATGTGTAAGATAGAGAACATAAAATTGTCATCTGAGGTATACACATATGTATAATTTCAACAATTCATACATATGAACTATAAAAGTTTATACTACTTTATATTTTGCACATGAATGATGAATAATAAAGTCCACCTAGTAAATGGTTGTAGGAAAAATTGTCAGCAGAATAAAACTTGCGATAACTGGTAGGAAATGAACGTTTTTGTTTGTGGAAATTTATGAGAGTTTGTGTGTGTGTGTGTGTGAGAGAGAGAGAGAGACAGACAGAGAGACAGAGAGACAGAGAGAGACAGAGACAGAGAGAGACAGAGACAGAGACAGTGAGTGAGTGAGTGAGTGAATGAGTGAGTGAGTTTGGGGGGATTAGAAGAGAAAGATATAGTTCAAATGTCATCTCAAAAACTATGTTGAATTTTAAATGTCCTTATAAGAATATTAGGAATTGACATCTTCACTAGGTGATAAGGTCATAAAGATTTTGCCTTTATGATATAGATTGATTGTGAATGTTGCCCGAATTTATGCTTGAATATTTTATCCAAAACAGGTGATTCTGTTTGGAGGAATTATGGAATAATTAAAGGTGAAGCCTGTCTGCTGGAATTAGTTAACTTGCAATAGATTACAGATTGACCAGCCTCAAGGTCCCCTATCAACGCCCGAGTTCCAACTTTCAATGATTCAGCCTTTGAATACCCACGTTTACAAGTGAAATCTGGTACCAGTTATCTGCATCTGTTAATTTTCTTCGACTTTTAGCCAAATTCCTGCTACAAAAATCAACTTTTCTCATAGTGGCATGGCAGGTTAGACATGGCACTTGGGGATTTTATGTAAATGTGGGATATTGTGGTCTGTCTTAAATATGGCAGGGGAAAGCAGAAGGAGGATTATGTAGAGGATGAAGAGGGCACACACACAGAGATAGATAGATAGATGATAGATAGATAGATAGATAGATAGATAGATAGATAGATGATTTATAGATAGATAGATAGTCACATGTAGGGTAGTTGTGACCCATCAGATTACCTCCAACAACCTACTTCTTTCTTGCAAGGTTTACTTCATGGTAAAAAGTGCCCTCCCACATACAATTACCAGGTAGGGGCGAACTGTTCACATATGTAGCTATAATATATATTTCACATTAAAACAACACAATGAATGGTTTAAAGTCATTTTGTATTGGTGTGATACCTAATAACATCAAGGATCTTTTTTGATTCTTTTTTGTTCTTAGGATGTATGCTTACTAGCTACCTTGCCTTGTTATAGAGCAGCAGCAAGGGACTCACCAGATGCCAGTGCTGATTTCCTGAAAATAGCTGCTTCCAGAATCACAAGCTTAAACAAACTATTCATACAGTTTCTGTATTTCCAGTATAGTGCTACAGCAGATATAGCCTTAGACAATCCCACCCTATTATAGCATGGGGACTACAGGACTAAGAGAGACACTGCCAGATAGTGATAGCAAGAGATGGGGTCAGAGAACATCATAACCTATGAAGACAGCCAGGAAGAGAAAAGAAGTCATTTGTCATTAGTCTCAGTGATCAGAGACTATTTTAGTTGGGGTACTGTTTCTGTGACAGAACACCATGAACAAAAGCAACAGGAGCAGGAAAAGTTTCAGTTTGTTTGCATTTCCTCTTAGCAGGTCATCATCCAGGGACGTGAGGGCCAGAACATGGATGCAGAAGATGAAGCATTGGCCATAGAGGGTGCTGCTTACTTGCTTGTTCCTCATGACTTGCTCAGGCCCTGTCTTAGAGTACCCAGCACCACCTGCCCAAGGGTGTCAGCATCTACTGTGGACTGAACCCTATCAGTCACTATTAATTCTTATCAATCACTAATTAGGAAATTGCCCTACACTCTTGTCTGAAGTGTGATTTTTATGGATGAATTTTCTCTAATGAAGTTCCCCTCTCTCAAATGACCCTAACGTGAATCAATTTTACATAAAAGTTAGCGAGTACATACACCTAGTCTCCCCAACTGATCCTATGCCAGATTTCAGTCTGCCTATCCTGGTTCCAGAGCTTCTGCTCTCCTAAGTCTCTTGCCTCTCTTTCTCTCAGTGGCCAGAGAGTACAAATAGACACTGGAGAATTTACATCTGCAGCCCCTCAAAAACCAATTCTGGGAATGCAGACACACACAGGGGATCATCAACACTATTCTTGTCACTTAAATGTAATCATATTCACATATGAAACTACAGACGTTATAGAAAGACCTTTACAATTAAAGAATATACATGAAACACACCCCAGACATACAAGAATAGACTAGCAAGCACATCTAGACTCAAACACACAAACATGTATCTGCACATTCATATGAGAAATGATCTTTCATGTACAAAAAGCCTACACTGCACATACTCAGGTCAATGCCTGGATAGACAGAGGTGAGCTGGTATTCATGCGCTCACTCACAGTAATCAACACCATACCCAATGCCCTTTTGTTCTACATATCTGTTTCATGGTGTCCTTGCCAACATCTAGCATAGGGGAAAGGGAATAATGAGCGAGCAGGTCACTGGCAGGCCACCAAAATAGGAAGCACGGGTTAGCTCACTCTTGGACAATGATTAAGAGAGGAGGCAGGAGCAGTTTAAGTTGCGTAACTGGGTAGAGATCATGATTCAGTTTAAAAGGTCCTGCTGGATTGTGCAGTGAAGTGGATGGTGTTCGGTTGAGGACCATGGAGCCTAGTACCCTACTCCTTCTCACTCTTCTCCTGAGCTTCTTAGTGCTTCTGGTCAGAGGCTACCCAAAGACTCGTGGCCACCTCCCACCAGGACCCCGTCCTCTGCCCTTCTTGGGAAACCTCCTGCAGATTGACAGAGGAGGCCTTCTCAATTCTTTCAGGAGGGTAAGACTTATATGGGACCTTAGTGTTGGGTTGCTGCTCCTTTTGTCTGTGGAGATCACTCATAAGGATGAACAAGAGATTCCTTCCAGGCTGTAGGTTCAGGTGGAAAATTCGCTGGGTGTTAGGTGAGATGCCTATTGGTGATGACACATGGTCAGATTGACAGGCTTGTCCTTGATATGCTTGAATTGTGTGGGGCCCTCTGCTTGGAGTATGAAAGGTGTAGATGTGCTGAGGTGTAAGGATGTAGAATTTCACTCTATGGGGACTGTTCCAGAAAAGAAAGAAAAATTTCAGGGTCATCAAAAATAGGTTTACCTCCTGCCAACAAAGGAAGACCAAAGACTAACTTGAGGTATTGAGGAACAAAGGGGAGGAGCAGGAGGAATTTTTAATAAGAAGTGTGTATCAGTTTCTTCCAGCAGCTAGAATTATATTTACCAGTCTCTTAATCAATGTTTCACATTTGGGACTTAATGCTTAATTACCACTTGTTTATTAATAATTAATCAGCATTTGTAGTACTACAATCCATGAGAGATCTGAAACAGTGACTTTAAGTTATTCTCCTCAAGATGGAGTTTCTGTCCTGCCAGGTCCTACAGACATTCAGGCCCAAATAAAAACACAGAGGATTATGTTAATTATAAACTGTTTGGCTGGTGACTCAGGCTTCTATTGGCCTCCTCTCTCATAGTTATTATCCCATATCTATTAAACTATATTGCCACGAGGCTGTGACTTACTGGCAATGCTCCTGATTGTTACTCCTTCCACAGCTACATGGCATCTCCCTGGTGACTTTGTGAATTTGTCTTCTCAGCATTCTCCTATACTGGTAGCCCTGGCCACACTTCCTGCCTGCCTTTCCATTGGCCAAAACACCTTTATTCATTAACCATTAAGAAAAACATATATTCATATCACACAGAAGGACCTCCCACATCACACTCCTCTGTTTCACTCCATGAATGTGGAGTTATCCCTCTTGAACACTGTATTTATTACCTTTGACTTTTAAAAGATACTGCCATAAATGGAAAATTTATTTGTTTTAACTTACATTTTGAGACTGGATCTCTCTAGGTTATTTTGTTGTTTTGGGGGATTATTCCATTTTGTTTGTATCTGCTGATATTTGCTTCATTGATGAGAATGTAGTCGATTTTAAAGAATGTACCATGTGGTGCAGAGAAGAAGGTATATTCTTTTGTGTTTGGATGGAGTGTTCTATAGATGTCTGCTAAGCCAAATTGGTTCATAACTTATGTTAGTTCCTGTGTTTCTTTGTTAATTTTTTGTCTGTTTTTCTGTTCAGTGGCAAGAATGAGGTTTTGAAGTCTCCCACTACAAATGTGTGAGGTTTCATGTACGATGTGAGTTTTAGTAATACTTCTTTTATGAATATGGGTGTCTTTGTAGTTGGGGAATAGATGTTTGAAATTGAGAATACATTTTCATGTATTTTTCCTGAGATAAATATAAAATTACTTTCTTCATCTCTTTTGATTACTTTTAGTTTGATGTCTAAATGGTTAGATATTAGGATAGCAACACCAGCTTGATTCTTAAGACCATTTGATTAGAAAATCTTTTCCAATCTAAATAGACCTATAACCCTTAATGAAACAGAAGCAGTCATTAAAATCTCCCAAACAAAAAAAGCCCAGACCCAGATGGCTTCAGTGCAGAATTCTACCAGAAATTCAAAGAAGAGCTAATTCCAATAATCCTCAAAGTATTACACATAATAGAAGCAGAAGGCTCACTGCCAAACTCTTTTTACCCAAGCCACACAAAGACACAACTAAGAAAGAGAACTATAGACCAATTTCCCTCATGAACATCGATGCAAAAATACTCAATAAAATACTAGCAAAACGAATTCAAGAACACATCAGAAAAATCATCCACCATGATCAAGTAGGCGTCATCCCAGGAATGCAGGGATGGTTCAACATTAGAAAATCTATCAATGTAATCCACCATATAAACAAACTGCAAAAGAAAAACCACATGATCATCTCCCTAGATGCTGAAAAAGCCTTTGACAAAATCCAGCACCCCTTCATGATAAAGGTCCTAGAGAGATCAGGGATAACAGGAACATACCTGAATATAATAAAAACAATATACAATAAACCAACAGCTAACATCAAAATAAATGGAGAGAAACTCAAAGCAATTCCTCTAAAATCAGGAACAAGACAAGTCTGTCCACTCTCTTCATATCTCTTCAATATTGTACTTGAAGTCCTAGCTACAGCAATAAGACAACAAAAGGAGATCAAGGGGATACAAATAGGAAAAGAAGAAAATCTTTTCCCAATGCTTTACTATGAGGTAATGTCTGTCTTTGAAGTTGATGTATGTTTCTTGTATGCATCACAACGATGGATTCTGTCTTCATATCCATTCTGTTTCCCTGTCTTTTTATAGGCAAGTTAAAAACCATTAATCCTGAGGAAAATTAAGAACAATTAAGTATTAATTCTTGTTTGTTTTGCATTTGTTGTTGTTGGTGGTATTATATGTATATTTCCCCCTTTTTTGGCTTTTGGTAAAGTGTGTTTATCTATTACCTATGTTTTTGTGAGTGTAGTTAGTTTCCTTAGGTTGTAGTTTTCCCATACATTCTGTAGGCCTTGAATTGTTGATATGTATCTGGTTTTGCATGGAATATCTCTTTTTCTCCATCTATAGTGATAGGAAGCTTAGGTAGGTATAATAGTCTGCAATGGCATCCATGGTCTCTAAGTGTTTGTAGAACATCTCTATACAAGATCTTCAGGTTTTAAGAGTTTCCATTAAGAAATCAGGTGTAATTATTATAGGTTTGCCATTTTTGTTACTTGGCCTTTTCTTTTGCTGCTCTTAAAATTCTTCCTTTTTTCTGTATCTTTGGTGTTTTTATTATTACGTGGTAAGGGGACTTTTTGTGGTCCAGTCTATTTGTTGTTCTGCAAGCTTCTTGTACTTTCACTGGCGTGTCTTTCTTTAGGTTGAGAAAGTTTTCTTCTATGATTTTGCTGAATATGTTTTCTGTACCTTTGAGGTGGGTTACTTTTTCTTCTTCCATACCCATTATTCTCAGGTTTGGTCTTTCCATGGTGTCCCATATTTCCAGGATATTTTTGTATTAGGGATTTGTCAGACTTAAGATTTTCTTTGGTTGATGAATCTATGTCCTCTAATGTATCTTCTACACCTGAGTTTCTCTATTCTGTCTCTTGTATTCTGTGTACAGAAATGATCTATATAGTTCCTGATCATTTACCCAGCTTTTCTAATTCCAGCATTCCCTCAGTCAGTGTTTTCTTTATTATCAGTATTTCAGATTTCAAGTATTTAACTGTTTGTATTGTTTTCTTGACATGTTTAGTTGTTTTTTCTTGACTTTCATTGCTTTCTTTAAGACATTTGTTTATTTATAGTAGTTTTGGTTTGTCCTTTCCTCCATTTCTTGGATTTTTGTTTTCTTTTTCTTCCTTTTCTTTAAGGGATTTTCTCATTTCCTCTCTGATGGTCTCAATCATCTTCATAAAGTTGTTTTTAAAGGTCATTCTCTTCGGCTTCATCTGTGTTTCGATTTTCAGTTCTTGCTGGTGTGGAGTCCCTAGACTCTTGTGACCTCATATTAGTCTTTCTGTTGTTGAATGTGTTCTTATACTGTTGTCTTCCAATCCCTTCTTCCAGTGAATGTAGTTGGGGGCTCTCCCTCTCCTGGTGGGTATGGGTTCAAGGCTCTCCCCAGGTGGGTGCACGCAGGTCCAAGATTCTGATGGCTATAGTCTTTGAATGCTACTTGCACAGATGCTGTATCAGGAAACTTGAAGGAGAGGGAGGGAAAGGTAGACCTGAGAAGGTCCCAAACTCACCTCTCCCAGTGGAAACCGGAGGGTCTAAGACTAGAGTGGCAGCAAACTCTGGATGCTTCACACACAGCCCCTGGGCCAGCATTTGTCCTAAAGATATTCAATTACCTTTATGAGTCTTTACTTATATTTTAAGTTCAAGGACAATTTTATTAGTGATGGAGAGGGAAACAATAAGGAAGAGAAGTTGTGACTCTATACAGCTGCCTGTGAAGAGGAAGAGGAAGAGGAAAATCCATGCTGTTTGTATGCTGCCATATGGTGAAAGAGGGTGGTGGTATAGCATCAGAGAAAGAGAAAGGAAATGCAGAGCACCAAGCAAAGTACACCCAACCTTTGGTAGAGATCCAAAAGAAAAATATATTAAAAATAAAAGAGAAGAAAGAGTGGGAATCATTGGCTGTGAAGTCATGATGGAGGAGGAAGCCTAAGAGAATAAGTATGTTTGGTTGGTTTATGAGTCATAGGAAACAGCTCTTCAAGGACACAGTGTAAGGATTATAGCTCCACTTCTTTCCAGAGAGGAGGAAATAAATTCTGAAACAGTGGCTCAGACATCACCTAGTTTGCATTAAACAATATTATCCTATCATAAAGCTCCTACTACAAGTCATAACATAGCTATCATATGTGGAATTGTCATACTATGCTATAGCTCCTAGCACAGTGTCTAATTATCATATCAGAAGCAAGGGGAGATCTCTAGCAGAGAACTATTCCAAACATCACACTGGAGATAAATCAGGCATCCAGACCTAGAGAACCTCTCCAAATAATGGCAAATAGAGAGAGACGTCTCACTGAGTGGGGATTCCTCCATTTTTTCAAGCATGTAGAGAGCTGCCAGGCCATGGTAGACTTCAACATCTGACCAGCAAGGCCTCCCAAAAGAAGAGGGATGGTTTTCTGAGTAAGGACTAGAAAAACTGCTGATAGATGTTCTGCAAGTGGCTCTGTATTGTTTTGGAGGCTGTCGGTCCAGCCCGGCCTTGAACTCACTGAGATGCGTGTGCTTCTGCCTCCCGAGTGCTGGGATTAAAGGCATGCACCACCACTGCCTGGCCTATAAATTTATTTTTAAGCTTAAATTTAGATTGGAAACAAGGTTGCTTCACAAGTCAGTTC